AGAAATTGAATTCCAAGAGAGTATTCTTTCCTAACGTCACTTCCTGCGTATTTAATGACTTGTGATTGCGTAGTCAGCAAATGAGTAGAGAGAAATCGTAGAGGTGGGGCGGCCGTTGATGGGAGGTGAACCTTATGAGACAGTAGTTCGTTTTTCTCTTATTACTCTCTTCAGTACTTGCAAATGTGTTCAACGATGTCAGCTAATCTGCTGCGTTTTCAGAGGAGAGTTTCATGACGATCTGGTCATCTACTTTGTAGTCTGTTATAACTTTGCAGACCTGGTCTTCGATTCGAACACAGTGACACGGACTAAGGTCACCTGCTTGATATCTTACAAATTTACACATTACGTATACCTTACAACGTAGTGTAGAATGGTTTCAAATTTACCTTAGTTGGTAAGATTTTGATGGTACAGTTAATTAAAGAGGCTGTTTATTCATGTAATGTTATTGTTTCTCCCTGGAAATGTTTTTCTCCCGTAAGTTGGATTACTTCTTCTTGGATATCGATCATTTGTGTAGCTAGCTTTGACTAGCTACTTCTGTTTCTCTGACCTTTTTCAGTTCAAATTTTTTCTCACACAACATTGATATATATTTGATAGAGTGATTATCTTCTACTGAATAAACTGAACTGTATTGTGTAACTCTTCTCCTTATACCGGTAATCTTTCTCTACCACGCAAATTAACATTAAGCGTTCAAATGCACTAAATATGCTGTGCATGTTGGTGTACAGAACTTATTCTAATGTACAACTACCAATGAAAGACCTTTAGAAGCGACCTTCACATATTCTAACAGAATAGAATCACATTCGTCATTTGCAAATTACCCAGTTCTAGGTGTTGTTGATTCGGGTGTGGGATGCTTGCTAAACACACACGTGGTCTGGTCCGTGTTCGATTGCAGACTGAATCTCATTCAGAAACCTCAAGCAGCCTGAGATAGGCCTTGTAAAGAGGTCTGGCTGAGTGTGAGGCTAGCTACTACACCCTGTTAAAACGCCAGCATCACTGCTACTGAGAGTTCGAAGCTCAAAGGTGAAGCCTTATTTTACACTGGAAACACGAATGAATGATATAGGGTTGTAAATTTGCTGTGACTTTCTTCGGAAACCTGAAATATTCAATCACAATACTTGATACTTTACTTGATAGCATAAATGCTATTCAATAAATTAGGTGTTATAGTTAGAAACTACTCAGGTCAAACAACAGTATCATTAGCCAGACCGAAGTGATGTTAACTGTGGGAGATGGTTCTACCGGTGGAGGACGAAGCTGACTAACTATGCAGCTGTGTAGACTAAGCTCACAGATCCGTATAGGTTGAGACTACTCAAATTCTTGTCAGTTAATATGTACTTTCTAGTTTATCGGTTTATTCTGTATTCACCATACTAATAACGGCGATAACGCAATAGCGATGAGATGATCACATTAATTATGAAAATCTACATTTGCATAATGACTTGCTTAAAGTCTCATTTCTTTTCTATTTTTACATTGCTGTTATGGCTTCTTAAGAATTTAATGTGTAACGCATACGCCATATAGGTCAAGGCGTGTGCTTGTGTATTTTAAAATAAGATAACTGTTTCTACTTGTAAGCTGAAGTAGATAAATTATAAACATAATATCGATTGCTCTTCATTTGGCTACATTCAGTTTCTTCATTTAAAATTAAAAAAATAAACATACTTCTAGTGTAAGTATGTGTCCTTATTCAATTTACTAATGAGTTCATAATTAACAAGTTAGTTTTCAGGATTATCGTTATTATCTTGTTGTCTTTAGTGTCAGCAGTTTTCTTCTCTAAAATTCTGTTTTCTTCTCCTTCTTGTTGTTGTCTTTGTATTCTCATGTTGTGGTGCTTTTCATAATACGTTTACACTTTTAATGTAAGAGTAATGCAATTAATTATAAGCTTATTTCTACGTGCTTCCATTACTGCGACTACCAGTACTATTATTGGTACTTTTTTATTGTGTATCACCTTGAAGTATTCTTTATATGTGAGCGTGTGTACTGGAATGAAGAAAATGAACTACGTTTATACACCTGTATAATTTTTCCAGTGATGAACAGTAATCATCATTTTACGATATCATTACAAAACAAGTAGAATAATTTGCTTGCAATAGTTGTGTGCAATAAATAAATAAATAGTATTATCGTTATTGTCCTTCAGTTGGCCTGTACTCTTCCTTTTGTCATCTTCACATCAGTTATGTTTGTTTTGTTTTTACTTAGACCTGCTGTGGAATGAGTTGGTTTTGGTGTATTTATAAATGACTAAAAAAGTTGATTCGTGTTTGTAATTATCGTTTGTTTTGTAATACCGTGCTGTATAGTGTTCTTCACTAAGCGATGTGTATTATCTCTGTGTGCGTGTGTTAACAAATTATTCTGACTGTACTTCATCAGTATTCTAGCATCTTATGTTCATATGATTATGACTTTTTTTTAATATATTGACGTTTCGAGTTGAGCACAGGGCTTCATACTTGAAATTTGAGGTTTCACTAGGAGTGGTGTGTGCTTACGCGGAGTGTGGTTGTGCTAGGCCTAAGCCTATTCTTCCATCTTTGCCCAGGGCTTACTACCCGGTTAGTTGAGGTTTCGGAGGGCGCGTCGGCCGGGATTCAACTATGGACCACTTGATGAGAGGGTAGTGAGCATTCTACCACTGGACCACCGATGCACGATTAAGATATTATTGACTGCACAATTCCTACAAGCATCACAGTGACTGTTTTTCTCGTTGTCTATAGATATTTCCAATGCATTTGTTATTATTTTTTCACACATTCATTTCTCTACGTTTTACTTAATTATTTTCATGTGACATTTTGCCCTATTCCATTTTAACTAGTGTTTTACATATTCCCTCGTCGATGGTTAATTTATTATGCGCGTGAATAGTCTGGTATATTTTTCTATCCCCCTCTCTCTATCATTTGGCTAAGTAAAACAATGATACAGTCATCTCCTTTAAAAAATGCATATGTAAATGTTGGCCATGCTCTTTGTCCTTGGTACCATCACCAAACTGTTGTACACAGTTCTTATGAAGCACTGAGTTTAGTTGGATCTGATCTAACTCGTTGTGTACTTGTGACTTCTCCTAGGAAGATAATAGAGCACTGCATGAGATTATACAAATTGCTTGTCAAGTATCCTTTTCTATATTTATCCCTCACTTTCCATCTCATCACAATACATACACACACGCACACACGATATATGAATTGTGTGCATGGTGAGGATTTTCCTCTCTTTCCTGTCATATACCCTAATTTCTCAAACATTAACACATACAAACTGATTTGTTTGTTTGCACTGGAGATTGTTGTATTTATAGTCTTGCATAATTATGAGTTTTTGATGAAGTCATTATTGCCATTTTAGTTTTTATAAGTAGACAATTATGCAGTAGATGCAATCGTTCAATCGAATACTAATTTCGGATAATAGATCGAAACTATTAGTGTATATTTCATTGTAAACGTCCTCATGTGTTCGTTATGTGTACAGATAGTCAGAGACAGACGGTGTTTGTAGGCATATTGTAGTGTATGGAACGATTTGCTTATGTGGATTACCTTGACAAATACAGAGAATAACCTACTGCCATTTGCTTAGTATAATTTCTACATATAATAATAAAAAGCATACCACAAGTATGGTAATGAACGAATTCACCAGTGTGGTGATTCTTTGCGTCTTTGCGAAACACTTAGTTTCCATGACAATTTTCATTGTAGATTCGAGTGTGGATTCGAAAGGCTCCATCTGTAGTATTTGTGCTTACTGATGAAGGTGTTCATCAAAGGTCCTAACTCTTCTCTCTGAGTAAACTAGAGTTGTGGCTACTTCATTCAGATACAGATACAGAGCTCAACTTTTGTCCTCATTCTGGAAATAAATCATTGTGTGGATCGCGGTTGTTAATTTAGATTTTGAGGGAAATTCATCTCGATGTCAATTAATCTTATAACTGATGAGATGTTGGTTATTTACGTAATGATAATAATAATAGTGGCTTTATTGCGAAGAGCACTTTCCTTAGAGTGTGAAGTCCTCAGAATGTAGTATAATAATTTATCTAATGTTCTCTTCAAATGACATAGTTAGATAAAGTAATAATTGTCGGTAATGCATAGAGAAATAGTCAATTTGAAGGTTATTTACATTAGGTGATACTTTTTGAATCATACATTGTGTTTCTTTTTCGAATATTTAGCTTGACTATTTTGATGCATAATTAACAATCCTTCAACATGCCCGTTGTTTCGATTGATTAACTCTCATCAGTTTACTTGTTTGTTGATTTGACAGGGTGCTATAATCACTGTAATCCGCGCAGTGAACCACACAGACAGACGACACATCTCACTGCTTTATTTTCATTCCTTCCGTTTATTATATTATTCTGCAAACAAAAGAGTTTGGCGCATTGGCACTTAATCCAGAACTCCTTGTATTTTTATTTATCGGTGAAATCACTTTGGGCTATGTATGCATTTATTTGCAAAACTTTCTATATATGCTTGACTTTATTGTGTGCGATCTTGAAAATACTTCTGAAATTGTATGCCAGAAATGTTATACAGCTTATGTTGATGCTCGTCACAATTGTGTGTGGTCTCCGAGTGTCGGTCTATAGTAGCAATCACAAACACTACCGTCGACTATTCACACTGCACATGATCCGATCAAACAATCGGATATGATTAGCATAGATTATATGGGCGATAGTGGTACTTGTAATCTTGGTTATTTGTGTTTTTATGAGAATGCATACCGACATCATACTGGAGTAATAAGTATCCATCCAGCCGCGCTGTGATACTTCCATACAATTTGTATATATGAATAATAATTTTTTGTCAGGTATTTTAGTTTACTTATCTCAACTTCTGATAAGTTTACTGCTAAGCAGTTGGAATGTAGATTACATTTCACCTTTCATATTTCAACTTTTTTTTCAGGACGCCTACTATGGCTGGTGGTTTGTTCGCGATAAGTCGAGATTACTTTAATCATCTTGGCAAATATGATCCTGGTATGGAAGTATGGGGAGGTGAGAATTTGGAGATGTCATTCAAGGTAGGCAGTATCTGATTTTATTATTTGTTTGCTTGGATGAAGCACGGTAATTTGAACTAATTTACTATAGTGGTTGCTTTTAGCATAGAAATATCTGTGTGTGTTGAGTCAATGGTTGAAAGAATATGGTGAATAAATTCTGCGTAATCGGGCTTTGTGAGTCTGTGATTCAGCGGTGGAATGCTCACAAACCAAGCACGTAGTCGAGGGTTCGATGCCTGGCCAACGCACACCAAAACCTGGCCTAGGCGGTGGTGAAGGAGGTAAAGAGAGGAGGTGGGATGTGAGGTTGTGGCGTGTACCACTGACAAGATTTATCAGCAGTATATTTTAGACAGATTGATAGGGAGTAGGCAAAATTGAAACAACATTTTAAATCAGTGGCCCCAGAAGTAGAAGTGTTTATTTCTCAAATCTGGATTTGGCTTGCGTGTGGTAGGGAATGATTTCAAGGTTTGACCTGTAGAAAATCAACAATCGATTAGAACAGTTTATTATCCGTTGACGTAGCTGACGATTAATGTGGCCAAAATGTGTAGGTTTCATTGATGTGTTCTGCCTCAACTAAAAGTCCGTTACCAAGTCTCTTGTCTTTCCCCGCTACCTTTTTGGTGGTTTTCTGCTCGTCACACTTTGAGATTATTTCCTCACCACAACGTAAGCTTAATCCTGATTTGGAGAAGAAACACCTCTACTTCTGTAACCACTGACTTAAAATGTTGCTTTCGATTTCAGCTACTTCTAGGCAAACTTCGTTTTTATGGGGCACACGCCACAAGGTCACCAACCCCCCTCACCCCACTCGTAACAAATAATATCACCACTACTGCTGAAATTTCAAAGCTCAAAGATTGAAACCATATGCTCCACTCGGAACGCAAACGAATAAAATAATAATTAAGTTATGCGAGCTTCATGTGATCCTGTACGAATAATCGTCTATTTGAGAAATGAATACATGTCTTATTTGAGAAGTATGTATCTTCAAATACACCTAATCGAAGTAAAATATATGAATAGAGAAAAATCTTTAATTTGAATAACAACACACGGTGCAGGATAAAACGCATCTTTTGCTCATTTCGTTAGTATCTTGTCAGCAGCATACAAGCTAAAAAATGAAGGTGAATAGTTGGTTATATAAAGTAGTTTTAACATCCTCTAATTCACTGGAGATAAAATTTGGAACAATAATTATGAATGATCATGGTGCATAGATGAATCGCAATACTAAATTATTAAAGTACAAAATGCTGCCTTGTAGATCTCTTTAAAGGATTCTTCAATCGACCACCACCGGCAACTCGCGCAGAAATGCCACCAACAGCACACACAGGACTGCCGGCGGACACCACTCCTCCAACGAAAGAAGAAATCCTGAATGCCATCAATCTCCTGAAGTCCAAGAAGGCAGCAGGACCAGATGGCATTCCTCCCGAAGCACTGAAGTTTGCCTCAGAGATTACGGCAGATTTTCTCATTCCATTACTGCAAAAAGTTTGGAAAGAAGGAAAGGTGCTTACTAATTGGAAGAAGGGCTGATTACCTCGTCAAACTGCCAAAGAAGGGCGACTTAGGCCTGTGCGAGAACTGGCGTGTAATCGCGCTCTTGTCCATGCTAAGTAAAATACTTAGTTATGTCATCCTGGAGAGAATAAAGGATGCACTGGATACACAATTCCGCTCGTCGAAACAATCTGGATTCAGGAAAGGCAAATCATGTGCTGATCAAATTGAAGCTCTACGCATCGTCGTCGAACAAAGCATAGAATGTCAGTCAAACATCTACCTTTACTTCATCGATTTAGAAAAGGCCCTCACCAGACAGCGTAGACCGAAAAGTAATTTGGAAACTACTTCAACACTATGACCTACCCTAATTCTTTGTCAACCTCATTCAACAGCTGACTATTTGAGAATGTCACGTGTCAAGTGATCTACAATAGAAAACTCAGCGAGGCGTTCGAAGTGCATAAAGGAGTAAGGCAAGCTGGCTGCCTATTATCACCGATGGTATTCTTAATTTTGGTGGACTGAATTATGCGTCAGGCCGTGAGTCGGAAACGAGGAGACAGGAATACATTAGCCACCGATAAGAAGACTGTAGAAGATCTGGATTTCGCAGATGATATATGTCTAATGTCACACAAACTCGAGGACTTACAGGCAGGCGAAAACCAACAAACTGGCTGAAGAGGCTGGGAGCGAAGACCACAATGCCGGTGAACATAGAGGAGATTGAGGTGATGAAGATAACCAACCAACAGCAGCAACAACAACCAGCACCAGTCACCATCAACAGGGGAGATTTAATTGAGGTTACTTCCTTCACTTATCTAGGAAGTATCGTTTCAACTACAGGTGAAACGGATGAGGATGTCAAAGCAGGTCAGAATCGGAAAGGCAAGATACGACTTCATTAACCTGAAACCAGTTTTGAAATCTTCTGAACTGCTCTCAGCCAGCATAAGGAATAAGATTCGCATTTTCAACACCAATGTCAAGTTTGTTCTTCTACACGAGACAGAAACTTAGCCAGCGTGTCACGGAAATGATTTCCAACAGGTTGTAGACTTACATCAACACCTGCCTTCTCTCTATACTGAAGATCGAATGGCCAGAAAGAATAAGCAACAAGGAACTATGGGAACAAACCAACCAAGAGCCGATCGCTCAACAAATATGTAAAAGAAAGTGGAGATGGATCAGGCCCTCGAGTGGAATCCCGTTGAGAAGCGACGAGTGGGTCGTCCGAGGGTGACATGGAGGAGATCGTGTGAAGAAGAGATGAGAGAGTTCGGTCAATCGTGGACCCAGCTGAAGAGGACGGCAGAAGATAAGACAAAGTGGAGATGTGTTGTTGAAGCCCCAAGTTGCACTCGGAACGCAAGGGAAGAATAATAATAAATAAATATTATGCATTACCGATATTTATTATTTTTTCTAACTATATCATATGAAGAGAACATTAGATACATTATTATACTACATTCTGAGGACTTCACACTCTAAGGAAAGTGCTATTTGCAATAAAGCCACTATTACTATTATTATCATTACCTAAATGACCAACATCTCATCAGTTATAAGATTAATTGACATCGAGATGAATTTCCCTCAAAATCTAAATTAACAACCGCGATCCACACAATGATTTACTTCCAGAATGAGGACAAAAGTTGAGCTCTGTATCTGTATCTGAATGAAGTAGCCACAACTCTAGTTTACTCAGAGAGAAGAGTTAGGACCTTTGATGAACACCTTCATCAGTAAGCACAAATACTACATATGGAGTCCTTCGAATCCACACTAGAATCTACAATGAAAATTGTCATGGAAACTAAGTGTTTCGCAAAGACGCAAAGAATCACCACATTGGTGAATTCGTTCAGTATCAAACTTGTGGTACGCTTTTTTATTATTATATGTAGAAATTATACTAGGCAAATGACATTGACTGACTATCTGGTTTCAACATATAACTTTGCATCGATATGCAGCAGTTCGAGTTTCCACACTCCATGTAGTACACAATGAAAGAGAAAAAATTAAAAAGAAATGCAGAACAGAGACAGTAAACAGAGATATGAGGTGAATGGAATAGTATTATCGAAGAAGAATAGAGCTTTATTGGATATTATAGGTGACAAGGAGTGGGTGAATCTGTGCCATCGAGAACGATTTCGAGCCATATCACCAATCGTCTGTAGCCGTCATTGGATTTTGTAGTCCATAGGACCCCTACCAGGGAGCCAATACAACCCTCCCTACGTGGCTGGCTCAAACTAACTTTATTGGATTTCATCGAACGATGAAGCCACGTTTTGGTTTGACTACCATTAGCCAACTCTTTACCATCCTGATCCTATGTAAGCTAACATTACCCATCAGTCGAGGTAGGCGATAGCTAAGCATATGTAACACATGTCTTAACCATCTAAATCGATGTTATTTCAGAGTCTCGTCTGTTGATTTCCCCTCCTTACGAAGCACTTGATGCCTAACGTAAATGTCGCTCACCCTATTGTACCACTTTACACGCGAGATAGGACGCAGGTATCTATGATAAAAGACAGATAACCTTTTCATGTCCTCCACTATCAATAATCAGGTCTCACAGCAGTACAGGAGGACGGAGCAGACTGCTGAGCAGTGCACACGCCATTTGCTCGATAGCCGGATATCACATCAACGCCAGAGACGGCGTAATCTGGTATATGCGGAATGAGCCTTTTGTATCCTTTCTGAGATTTCGTCAGCAATCAACCCGTTGAGGTTGGCTGATGCAACTTCCCAAGTACGTGAATCGGCTAACGCACTCTACCACTTCACTGCCTATTTCTAAGCTGGGAGTCAATGTCGTCCAGTCGTGTAGCATCATCTTACATTAGGCGGGAGTGAATCGCATGCCAAACACTCGCAGATTGCTGCTCCTCAAGGTGTTCAGAAGACGTGATGGAAATTATGTCTATTATGTCTAGGAAAACAGAAATTCATGCTTTGGTATCTTTCCTCCTTGACTGGCAGTGGTACTCATTGTTTTGAATTCCCACATCTTAGTGATACATCAGTGTGTGCATTATCAGTATCTATGTCACAGTTGCTTTTTGTCACGTTTTTATGTACTACCTAACAATGTAGTAGTCGGAGGTGAGAATTTCAAACATCTATGGCGTTGCTATATAAGTAATGGCCTTCAAAAGCTTTTTGTGGGTCTCAGAAAAGAGAAAGAATAAAATTGTATATAGAATCCATTACAGAATTACTTAGAAATAAGCGTTATCGACAAGAAAATCCTACAAAGCCTGTAGAGCGAAATAATTTGTTTTATCTAATACCATGAGATGTATTAGGATACAATTGTACGTTGGGTTTACTCAGATAATTGGAGCACAGAAACTTTTCAGAATCCAGATTAGTAGGCCCTTCTTCTTTGATGAGTGCAGCTGTAGCATAACCGTACAATAAGATGCGCTAAAGTAGCAGTCCTGTAATCTAACTTTGTAGAGTAGTGGGCGACGTTGATAGCTGAGGCTTTGCTTTTTTGAATCATCTGTAAACGTGTGTCGGATAGCAAACGATAATGGGAAATAGGAACTAATTCTCGAATTTGTATGGTTATATTTAATATGATACATTGTGTAGAACATATCATAATGATGTTGTTTGGCTGTATGGTATATGTTGTCCGCGAGGATAAAACACAGTGACAGATTAATTTCACTAGTGATATTAACTCACTGCAATGGATTGATGGCAATAGAAGAGTTTCATTGTCCTCTTCCATGGTTGTAATGACTACTGCCAAAATGTTTGCCAAATAAGATAAGTTGACTGTGTATTGACCGATTGTGTTGTTCGCATTTTCCCCAGTAGTAGCTGTAGAAGTTATTGATCTGTTCATTAAGACGGCCTGTCTAAAATAGTCTTCTTCATTTCTGACGTAATTATTCATGTGTTCAAGAAGTAAGATTTTCACTTTGACAGATATGCATCTTTTTTCTCTCTCTCTCTCCCTTTCTGTTCTTGTTATATGGGTGTGTGGAAAAAGGCAGAAAAGTAGAAAAGACTTAATCCTTACGATGATATTAGAATTCAGCGACAGTAGACATTTTCTGTATTCTTGTCCATAGGATCGTCAAGTAGTAAAACCTCCTTCTTATTTTGCGTGACAACTTTTACTTTGGTTGAATATTTGCCCTCTTCTTCTTTTATTGGTTTTCTGCCGTCTTCTTTCCTCTGTTTTATGACTTTGTCAAACCAAATTATCACGGGATCATTGCTTGGAATAATTTCTCATGCTTGTCCTAGATTTCTTCATCTCTCTAATTTTTCACTGTCATTTTGTTTTTATTTTATTTTATTATTCTTTTGTATGGGGTAGTAGAGAAGTTTCCTGATTTTTTGTGCTTTTATTAGTTTTCAGTTAGTTTACAACAGACATGAGGGAGGAGAGGTGACATTTAGTGCAATTTGACGCATACAGTTATCATGTTTCGTAAATTTAGAAATTTATTTCATTCCTTTGCCTTCTGAATGAGTCATAAGGCTACAAGCATTGGCTTTGAAGTTGCAGTAGCACTGGTGTTTATTTTTCCGCGTGTTGGTGTTGCTAGCCTCACGCTCAGCCTTCCTTCTTTACAAGGCTTACTATCGGCTAGTCTGGGTTTTGGAGTGCGTCGAGGGGGTGGGAGTGAACCTCGGATCACGTGCGTGTTTGACGAGTATCCCTATGACTGAACCACCGATACACATCGTGTTTTTTAAAGTGTCGGATTTCTCTGTGGTATTTTGTGTTCATTTTCTAAACGTGTGGATTTTAAGTTGCAGTTCACTATTTGTGAGATAGAATTCTATACACGAACTGTTCGACGGATGGGATATTGGATGTTACAGTGGAGTTGTCATCGCTAAATGCAGATGTGCATCATGTCAGCTATACGTTACAACAGTGTTCTCCATCTGAAGACCGTGACTTGCCTAAGTGTGTAGACTTTTGAAACACGAAATCATCAAAATTAGTTTTAGTCACGTCTAGCCTTAAGGAAATAGACAGTTTTTGTTCAGCAAAGAAATATCTCTTTTCAAGGACTTCATTTTCAAGCTGCGTTGTCGTATTTATATTACGGAGAAATGAATTAAGTGGCACTAGAAATTGCTCAGTTAATATTGCACATTTGATAAGAAGATAATTAAAATGATGCATTAAGAGAGTAGAGTTGAAGTGGATGAATTACAAAACTTTCCAAATATTATTAATTAAGTGAATCGGTATTAAGATTTTAAAGGTGGTAGGTCAAGTGTTGTCTCAGAAATTAAAGTTACGACGATGATAACGATGAATACGAATAGAAGTGGAATGAATTCAAGTGGTAAAGCAGAATGGAATAGAATGAAAACAGAGCATTACTATGATCAAGGTTCACTGAGAGGTTTAACAAAACGTATGTAATTTAGGTTTCTGTTCATGTATGACTAGTTCTTCGGCTTTTAGAGTGGTTGGATTTCGTCCTGTAGATGGCCTCGAGTCTATATCAGTCAACTACAAAATGATGTGTACTAAGATTTATTGGCTATTTTTATGCGTAATTTAACAAAAGTGAGAATTTTCAAATCTTTATATGTTAGAAGGATTTCTAGCAAATCGTAGATCATCGTCAACATGAATTTCCGCCTGTGTTGATAACTGCTTAAGTTGACACTGGATTGTGGTGGAAAATATTTAGAAGTGGTCAAATCAACTGTCTCGCATAAGTCGATGAATTCTTCGACAGTTGGTTTGAACCCGCCAGCCAGTCAGCCACGTAAAGAGGTGTAGACTACTTATTTGGTCTTTTCGGGATTCTACGAACCAATGGCTTGAGAGTGTTTATGATATTGCTCAAAATTGTTCTCAATGGCGCAAATGCATCCACTCTCTGTAATCTCCCAGAAACAATAATTTTTCATGTTTTCCCATGTTACTATTCTTTCTCCCATATGTTTCTGCTCATTATGATTCTTTTGAATTTTTCTATTCTCTAACTTTGTGTGCTGTATGAAATGTAGTAAGTTGAACTGCTCCACTTGTGTGTAAAGTTCTGCATTGAAACCCAATCAGTCAGTCAGCCAATCAGTCGATTAGTTGTGTGAATCACCTTGTGAAAATGGACTTCAAGATTCATCATCGTGTTCAATTAGTCCGAAGTGCATTGTTTATGTTTCATTGCATAATGAATCTTTATTTCATTTAACTAAATATGTATCAAGTTGGTTGTAATTCACAGTAAATTATTTAAATTACTTGGTTTGTAATCTTTCTTCCTCTTAAATTCAGATTTGGATGTGTGGTGGGATTTTGGAAACTAGTGTCTGCAGTTATGTTGGGCACATATTCCGCGGTCGTTCACCATACAAATGGGATGTTAAAGTGAAAGATCCCTTGAAGAGGAATTTACTTCGATTGGCTGAAGTTTGGCTTGATGATTATAAACGATTTTATTATGAACGTATTGGTTTTAAAAGTGTAAGTTATTCTTGCTTTTATGTTCAATTTTTAGTGAGTGTTTGTTGTTTTCTAAATATGTAAATAAATTGGCTGCTAAATCACGTCTGATGAAGTATTTGGTTGTACGTGTTTAAACTCCTGTGAAATATTATTAGAGCAGATTATAATGGAAGCCTGTTTTGATGTTAGTGAAATTAAGCCTGTGCCTTGAATGTGACTTTGTTCAAATTAGCAGATGTCAGACAACTTACAAGAAACCATTGCAATTACAACATAGAACTATTACCACTTGATAATTATTGAAATCCAGTCTCAGTTTGTGAACCTTCAATGGTACACACTGAGAACTTCAGTGCACTCTGCAAATGGAATAGTTTGGTTCGATTTCTCTAACACCCTGAAGGCTTTTTTAAATAATTTCATAACGTGTGAATAATGAATGAAGTGACGCGTTTACGAGTTCCACAATTACTAGTGTGTAGAAGAGTTGGGTATTTGATGGCAATTGTCCCACATTATGTGAAATATTGTTAAGATGTTCAAATGCAATAAAAGGTGTGCAGGTGTCGGTTCAGGATCCAACTTGAAACCGAAAAAATCCTTGCAAATCAACACCTAATGATTAATCCAATGCCCACTGGTGACTGACTTCAGGCTGAAGGTGCCTAGAGTTCTAGGGAGAAATGATAACCAGTGATATCCGCCAAGTTGTGTGTGGGGAATAACACTCTCGGATGAGATTGGCTTGTGAAGGTACAATGTATCGCGAATTGGGAGAAACCAGAATACATGGGCCATTGAACTCCATCCTACATGGTGGTTAACCAGCTGACTAGATTAGTGACGTGAAGTTCCTAGGTTCGACTCCTGACGGGATTATGAGCGCGTGCTGGTGGAGAGCATGAAGCTTGGGTGAACCGACTTTCCAGTACTGCTTCGCTTTCAATAGTTTATAATTGATGTCAGTTCGTAGTCTAACTTGGTTGGAGTGTGTTCACGCCTAGGAAGATGAAAAGTTTTACTAATGTAAATTGCTAAAGTTTGAAAAGAGATAAGTGATATTCCTCTGTTATCACTCTTCTATTTCATTTGTACTTTTTCCCGTCAGGTCGATTATGGTGATATTTCAGAACGTAAGGCCTTACGTGAAAATCTGAAATGTCATTCATTCGAATGGTATTTAACTAATATCTATCCAGAATTATATGTACCTTCAAAAGTCTTAGCGTCTGGTGATGTAAGTTGTATACTTTTGGATTGTTGTCCGTGTTTCATTTTGTGTTTTTTGTAATTGACATATAGAATTTTCGTTATTAATATTATTATTTTCACTATCGTAGTGGATTATGTTAACTCTCGAATATTTCGAGTTGTAAGATATTCGTATGATTTCGTTTTTGTTTCGTTCACTGACACTGTTTCGAATTCATCTGTTAGTCAGACAATTTCGATGTTGACGTGGTTAGTAGCATTGATACCATTTGTGTGCACACCTTCATTGTAACAATTTGACCCACCACTCACATGACTTTTGAATTGTCATGTTAGAGCAGGTAACATTTATACTGTAACTTATTTAAGTGATATGTGCTCTATTCCTGTGTATGTAGATAATTATGGTGAGTTAATGAACAAAGTAATAAACTTCAAGAGAGCCATAAAGACCGAATTCGCAGTATCAAATAACGTCATCTTACTTCGAAGGTTTTCGTAGGCTTCTGACCACCGGGAATTATGATGCTTATTGATCAAAAGTTAGTTTGTAGGAGTCTGATTTGTTTCAGGTTGATCATGAGCTGACATCAGCTAGAGAACAAGTGAAAAATGAGGTGGTACTGGACAGCCGTTTCGTCTCCACAGTACGCACCCATCGGAATTATTTCAACTCAATGCTTCTTGGCTACAAGGCAAGCTTATAAAACATTCAGACACTGGGACCCGATGCAACGCTCTATGAATTAATTTCAACTTCTACCGGTTCGTGATTATGAACACATGAGTCAGCATGGAGATCTCTTTTCGCAACTTCACTCCAAGGCTGTACAGTTATTTAGAGCGTTTACATATGCATACAATGCAGACTGATAACAGAAGTCAAAGGTTATTATCAGTTGGTAATAAAGTAAATTGAATTGGATGCGTAATAACTATATTTGACAAATTAGGAATAGTTGGAGGATTTCATCATGAGTTGACATCAGTGAGAGAACCATTGGAAAACCTAGGCGTACTGCACAGCTGTTTCTTCCTGGTTTGAACTCTTCATCAGTGCGCACCCTCCGGTGTTCGAGCCCTAGGAAACCAATACTTTAGAACTAGGAATAGTTTTGTGTAATCAAAAAGGGTTGACAAGTAATTCTGCTGCTGCTGCTGGATTCAACATAGAACTTGGCACCGAAGTGCAGCAGTTCGAGTTGCCACGTTCCGAATAGCACACAAAGGTAGACAGGAAAATGAGAGATGAGAATCAATAGAACTTAGATAAGTATAAGAGTGAAACAGAATGAGTAATGGTAGGAAGGAATATGAAAGTTAAAGAGACTGAATACATCTGCGCCATTGACAACGATTTTGAGCCATGTCACCTGTTGTCTCCAGCCATTGATTCTTAGAGTCCCGAGGGCCCCAACCCGGAAGTCTGCATCTCCCTACCTGACTCAGTTTAACTGTCAGGGATTTCATGGATTGATGCCATGTTTTTGTTTGGCCACCACTTTTTTTTCTAACCTGCACCTATATCAGCTAGTAATGCCCGTCCGTCGGGGGAGGCGATGGTTAGGCATGCGCAGCACGTGACCTAATCATCTCAATCTATGTAACTCCATAGCCTCTTCGATTGATTTTCCCTCTTTGCCCAACACTCTACGCCTGACGTCAACATTACTTACCTTATTATACCACCTAACGCGAGAAAGAGATCGTAAACATCTGTGGTCAAAAACAGACAGTCTCTTCATGTCTGCCGCTCTCAATGGCCACGTCTCACCGCCATAGAGAAGGACGGAGCGAACTGCTGAGCAGAATACACGTCCCTTAATTGACAGCCGGATGTCACGCCTACGCCAGAGACGGTGTAAGTTAGCGAAAGCAGCCTGAGCTTTCTGGATCCGTGCTGAGATTTCGTCACCAATCAATCCGTTGGTGCTGATACAACTTCCCAAATAGGTGAAGTGGTCAACATGTTCTATCACTTCACTCCCTATCACTAAGCTAGGAGTTGACGTAGTCCAGTCCTGTAGCAGCATCTTACATTTCACAGGGGCGAATCGCATGCCAAACATACGAAGATTGCTGCTCAAGGTGTTCAGAAGACTCTGCATTTTGTCAGCGTCCTCCCCTAACAGGACTATGTCGTCTGCGTATTCTAAGTCTATAAGACTATTCCCTGGTAACAAGTCGATTTCTAAGTCGTTAAGTTCAGTTGAGGATACTTCCATTAGCATATCTATGATGAAATTAAACAGAAAAGGGGAAATTGGACATCCTTGACGGACACCACTGGTTGTTATCAATTCAGATGACAATTCCCCATAAGCCCTTACACAGCTACGTGAGTTTGAGTAGAGTTCCTTGACAAGTAATTAGTTGAGTGTTGAATAATCGTCTGGAAATGACTGAAAATTAATTGAGAGATTGATAGGGTGGATTGCCTAGAGAAGGGTAAAAGACACTGCTAAGGGCATGGTAGTGAAAAAGGCTGGATGAAACTTTTCTGAGCACCAACTACTAGGGCTTAAGGCGCATAAGAATGCAGACGAAATGCTTTCGAACGATTTAGTCGTAATTTGTATATGACTTTGGTGGAAGTCACTGCTAATGCTGCATGACCAGGAGTAATAATATGCTCTAGAACTGAGCTGTTGAATGTTGTGCGTCCTCCTTTAGACAAACATGATGGTAAGTGTTCATGAGCACGTCTAGACAATATCGTAAAGGTAGAACCTATATGTTCAGCTCCACATGGGTAGTGTGAATCGGTGAATACAAATTTAACTGGCCAACAGCACGATATTACATTCAACCATTTTCAGTTTCCGGCTATCTTCCTTATTCGTCTTCCTGAATAACCATATAATAAGTTATATGCAGTCAGCTCTGTGTTTTTCCTAATTAATTTACAATCATTTTCAGACGGTTATTCATCAATTATCCAATTACTTGTCAAAGCTTTTTGATAACGTTTGCCATATTTAATCAACGAAATGTCATTTGATGTCTGTAGCAATACTAGCTCATCATAGCCTTTTATGTTATGAAACCACAAGAACTCAGCTAAATTTAGAATGATGCCCATCACTGAAAAACATAAGTATTGCTCTGCTTGACATTCAGACAGAAGTATTATGTTAAAGAGCCATACATTTAGGTCAATCAACCTTGATATAATCGTTATCAATCACGTGTCTCTCAAATGTCATTCAGGAAATAATAATTCTGTATTACTGTGTGCTCTGTCAAATAGGCATATTTAACCTCGATGAGAATATTGGTCATGTACAAATTTCCCATTTAAGCATTTAGGAAAACAAACGGATTGAACGTAGAAATAACTGCCTTTCCTCTTTGTACTTCATCACTATCGTATATTCTTCCTCTCTCACTTTTATTACAGATTGAAAATGTTGCTGCTCCTCAGTGCTTAGATGCACCAATACCGAATAAGAAAGATCGTAAAACAGTGATTATTAAAGCATGGCCATGTCATAAACAAGGAGGCAATCAAGTGAGTTAGCTAATTTTCTTTTTATTTTGAGAACTATTCATTCAATGAAGAGCATAGCTTAAAAAAATAAATTCTGGAAAGAAATTCTACTCACTAGTCGTAGAAAAAAGCAGTGCACAGTGAGTGATTGGTACTTCGTGTAGTCAAAAATATGAGCAGTTTATAGATTGTGAGAAATTTGTGCCATTTGTTGAGTTTCTTACTAGGAGTAGTTTTTCCATTTTATGAACTATTCTGGTGTGTATATGTTACACTTGTCCTTGTAAAACAAAGTCTTGTAGTAGAAGAGAATCACTTTAGTCTTTTGATTTTTAATGAAGCTTGGCGTAAATAGCCGACGAAAGTGGTTATACTGGACAATTTTCAAATATAATTTCCAATGATTCAGTTGCTCGTTCTTCATTCCACTCTCTGGTCATGATTAATAATAATAGTGGTAGTAATAATAGCTCCATTCCCAACAACACTTTTGGTAGAAATGAATCTCGATCCGGACGAGACTCGAACCGGTAATATTCTGATCCGTAGTCAGAAGCCTTATCCGTTCAGCCCTCGTTTCTTAATAAATATCGAGTATGTGAGCGTCAAAGTGTTGTTCGATGAAAACTGTGACATATTGCAACGTCATCTTAACATGGTACTGTTATCAGTCACAGTTGTGATAATGAATTGGTAGTGTGCAATTTATGTAGTTCATGGTGAATCTTCTCCGCAAGTTTACATTGAAAGGCAAAATATTATTTGAATCACAATGTGTGATCGTCTTGATCGTACAATTAGCAATCATGAACGCGAGAAAAGTGTGTATGACGCTATATACTACTGATAGCTCAGCCCCAAACGAGGGATACGATTGTCCGTTGTTCAGTTCACTTCGATCTGGCTAACAAGCTCTACTGATTGATGTGAGTGAGATCCAACTACTCGTGTCAACCAGTCAGTAGTATGTAGAGTTATGACAAAAGAAAACCAAGATTTCGGGTTATTCATTCAGTCCTTATTTGATTCAACCTTCTAATATGTTGTGTTCGTGTGATACATTTTACACTCACACGTAACCTCCTAATAATGATAAGTAGTACTAGTGAACAAATATTCATATCCTCATTGTATATTGTGGATTGTATTACTCTTTGTATTTTGAAGTTATATATGCGAAATCGGAAGTCAGTCAGAAAGTTCAGTTTTCTCCCAAAACAGTAAATCTCACCCTCTTGAAATTAATCACTTTTTCGTTTGTTTTGTTTATTGTTTTTAGTTCTGGTTATTATCACCTGAAAATGAGATTAGACGAGATGATTATTGTTGGGACTCGGGTGTAAAGGAAGGAAGCATTGGTTTGTTAAGTTGTCATGGTTCACACGGGAATCAAATGTTTACATATGAAAATGTAAGGTTCTCTTTCCTTAGACGACATTTAATATGAATCCAATATATGTATAGTAATGTTATTGTTTATCATTATTACTGAATTAGTTTCCTAGTGGAACATAGGACTACAGCAACAGATGTCCATTTTATCGAGATCTCTGCAGTCCACCTTAACCTGTTCCACGATTGCCGATAGACTCTCATCTCCTCCTGACACGACTCAACTCGTTGTTTCTTATTCCGGTTCCACTCGAGGATCTGAGTCGGGAAGTGTCTTTAAGGTCTCCAGGATGTGTGTCCTATCCATATCAATTTACATTTGCATATTTGTTAAGCTATAGGTTGTCTGTTAGATCGATGCTATCATTCCTTGTTGCGTATTCTAACTGGTTGGCCGCCTGGTCTTCAGTATCGACCGAGTGCAGACAGGTGTTGACGAAAGTTCGCAGTCTGTTCGAAATGTTAGTTGTGACACGCCAAACTTCCGAGTCTTATAGGATGACTGACTTAACATTGGCGATGAAAATCCGAGTCTTGATTTTCGTGCTGAGTATAGCGGATTTTTATGTCGGTTTGAGATCAGTGGATTTCTGTATTGTCTTACCCATCGTGGTTTACTCTGCTGTCTGCATCAGTGCTGCCTGTAATTGAAATGATTCTGCTTAAATAAGCGAATGGCGATCGTTGCCTGTAATGTGATAACTTCATTGAATCAGTGGAAAGTTTAAATATGTTAGGTGTAAATGTAGCTTCAGACGTTCATTTTTTGCTGTAGTATGCTTTCCACACAGTGTGAAACGAAGTCAAGTATTTATTCTCTTAGTTTCGTAAGTTCACTTGACCTCTTTCACCTTGTGGTTTTATTGTTCAGTGGATAAAATTACATCATCATGAGAATAAGCTGAGCTTCGCAAACACAGTGACACATTGATGTGATTGTTGTCCCGTCTGACTTATTTGTATTGGACAGAGTTTCCTCAGTTCAGGTGACGAGTTCATCATTGGAAAGAGTATGCATAAAATGTAGGCTAAACAAATGTAATATGACTAGCATGGCTAAAGATGTACGAGGAGAGAGTAAGAATGAATGAAAATTAGTCAAGATTTAAGTAGACCGCCAACATAAGCTTGTAGCTAGCGAAATAGACTGATTTGTCATTAAATCTGTCCTGTTTAATATCCAACCTCTTATAAATGAATTCATGAATTTGCATCATTTTGTAATTTCCTTTCATTTCACAGGATAACACTATTCGTCATCAAGGCCAGTGTTTAGAAATGAAACCTAATACTGCTTTAGTAAGACTTGCTAGATGTACTGGTTCAGTAAATCAACGATGGAAATTCAGTAGAAAGCCGTATCTGCCATCTATAGAGAATAATGAATCATTTTGATTCAACTTACTGTGGAATGCTTCTGAGATCCATCCCGTTTTCGCGCATAAGTACATATATACTGATGTATTCATGATATACATGTCTTTCGTGGTCTGCTGTCTATCAAGCAAATATTTTCCTTCCAGAACAAGTGAACAAATGATACTCTCCTATTGTTATTCTTCTTTTATACTCCTTGTATACTCATATGTATACACATATATATATTCTTTATATATACATACATATATATCCATGCTATATATGTGTGTATATACACTGAAACGACATATCAGCCTTACTTACTCACTTACTCACTTACTTACATGCCTTCGTTTTCCCTTCTGATCTGTGATAAGATTTTTAATATTACAAGCATATATGTATGTATCTAAATGTGAACGTTGGAGACACATGGACAATGAGTTAGAGGTGATTTTGTCCTCCCTAATATATACTCTTTGTATATACATACACATGTATTGTTTTACTTGATAAGCCAGAATAACCTTATGATGAATAGTGTTCAAATGTGTGTGATTGTGCCTGTGTGCGTGTGTGTGTATGCTTGGTGTGGGCATCAGCTTATTACTAATATCATCATTATTTTTATGTGCCTTTCTCCTGGTGATTTGGTTTGTATTTTTATTTAGCGCATTGCATATACATCATACGCTTAAGGAGAATGTAAACACACTGCTCAATCTTTTGTGTTTCTCACCTCTTTCTTTTCCTATTTTTATGAAGGGATTTAGCCTGTTTTCAGATATTTTTCCATGGTTTTACAAAATATGAGTTGACTTTCACTGCAGTCCTTTTTCTGTGCTCTATATTAACATAGATGTGAATATCTATAGAAATAAATATTTTGTCTACTTTGAGAAGCGTCCTACTTTCCTCCTTTTTATTTCACGTCTTACTGAAGAAAACTTTAGGATTTCAAGTGAATTTCAAGGTTGACTATGCATGTTGTGCTGTATGTGATATAGTGTTGATTTCAGTTCAACCTCTTTATTATTATTATTATTGTTATTATTATTATTTCCAAGTCATTATTTTTCTTTTCTTATGAATATATATCTGTGTGCTTCCAATTGCAAATGCAATTTGTCGCTACAACAACAGCAACAAGAACAACAACAAGAAAAAAGAAAGTTTTTACAAGATTATCACCTGTGTGCTTTTCTCTCTCTCGATTTTTCTATTTGCTGTAGAAAAGTTTGAACAGTCTGTGTTGTCAGTGCAGCTGGGTGAAAATTATGCATCATAGTGTTTTGCTTTTATCCATCGGTTGAGTTAAACTAAGTTTGAAGTGATTATTCACCTTCTACTACAAACAGGATTTAAAATGGCAGTTGACATTTGAAGTTAGTAATCTTAGGACATTGGGATAAATCGAACAAAACAGTAATATTACGATGTGATTCCTGATATGTAGTCACTTGAATATTTGCAACATGAAATTTCTGTTCGTATTTGCACATTCTGGTTGTGTGTATAACTATACGCATACAGTGGCATCAGCCTTAATGGACTGACTGCTGACGAGATCTCAGCACGTATACCTATGGTTTGTTTGTTATTTAGCAACTTCGGTCATCTCCGAGTTAAACATGATATCGAGGTATCGATCTAAGGACGTGTATACTGCTCAGTAGCTCACTCTGTCCTCCTTGATGTCTGTGAGATGTGTTCATTGAAAGTGAAAGTCTTGAAGAGGCTGGTTGTATTTAACCACAGATGATTGCGTTCTGTCTCCTGTATTAGGCAGCATAACAGGTTGTTTAATATTGCAGTTAGACGTCGAGTGTTGGGTGAGAAGAGCAGGTCAGTTGGTGGCTTTGTGAAGTAGCAGTGAATGAGATGGCTAGGATGTGCATAGCGCATGTCGAGGATTGGTCAAGTGAAAATCTGGCATCAATTCATTATTTCTTCGACATTTGATTTGAGCCACTTGGTGAAGTTTGAACTGCTTCGTTGCGTGACTGGTATACTGAGAGTCGATGGCTGTAGACAACTGGCGGTTTGAATGACTGCAAACCGTTCGCAATGGTGCAGATGCACTCACTCGTTGTAATCTCCTAGATACATTACATTCTCATATTTTCCCATGTTGGTATTCTTTCTCCAGCACAATTCTGCACATTATAGTTATTTTGAAGTCTTCGTGTTTTTGCAGAGACAATGTGGTGACTTGAACTACTGCGCTTCTGTGCAAAATCTATGCAGATACGTTGTCAATCAATACGTATATAGATTTGAATGTAAAAGGTTAGCTGTATGTAGAAGTAACTGCGTGACTGTACAGTCTGTAACTTGACACAGCCATCGGTGAACATAGAGTTGAAGAATGCTTAGATTTCAGCGGAAGAGAATTTCAAAAGTCAATGTTTCCTCACATAACATACTGGCATAGTAATAAAGTTCCAAGAGGGAAGATAACTAAATGGAAATAAGAGTTGAACGCTGAATCGTTGTTCATCGAATCAACACTCCAACATATTCAGTAGGAATGACCGGGCACCCTACTTTACCACTATGAATCGGATGTTGAAAGCAAGAGATAACAACGTATTACAGGCGTTTTTCAATCATCAATGGTTACCAACAAAAGTGACATAGGATGGAATATAGTTTCATTGAACAAGAAAGGTTACGTATGAAAAGTGAAAAAACACATTCTACAATACCAAAATCAATACCAAAGAATTGATGATTTCGAATATTTAGATGAAGAAGGAAGCAGGAATTAACACACTATGACTACATGGTCTTCCTGAAGTGTACTAACTGCGAATTTCGCATATGTACAATTATGTACACTGTGGAACCGGAAATCAGTTAGCTCAAACCTTAAGAACTGTAGACGAAATGTGTTGCAGACGATGTCTCTGACTTCTTCTCTAAAGTGATGGACACATATGAATGAAGAGTACATGGATGCATCAACATGAATCACCAACATACCACTGGTGTAAATAGTCGATTCATGATATTATACCAATGTTATATAATGATGTCATTGATATATAATTTATGTATAATTGAATATGATTAATATTGATATGATAGACTTTAATGTTATATGAATGTAATGTTATATTGATCATTATATTTTTATGATTTACATTTATGTATTTATAATATTATGTTATGATTTTTATGTAATATTATGTTGTATTAGTTGATGT